GTAGATTCAATAATTGGCATCAGTTCCTAGCCCTTCTAGCTGTTGTGTCTACTTTCATTATTTCTTCTCTATTTCCCCTCTCCTCAGTACACTAAATACATGCAGGAATAAAAATTGCTAGGTAGTGTCCTGCCGTGAGAAGGATCCCTAATGAGCAGTTAACTAGTTGCTGGATCTAGAGCCACGACAGCCTACCCTTTATATTACATCATGATGGTGGCTGCAATATTGCCCGGTTTGCTGGTTGGATATAATTTACATTCATTTGTGGCAATCACTAATGTGACCTCACTGAATACTGCTAACGAAATCCAGCTATGCTCAAATTCACCAGTGCTAGCTCACTATGGAGATATAAACCAAAGAAAAGGCAATATGAATATGACATGAGTATATCTCAAATGGAAAAGGGAAGAGATTCTCAATAGTCTCTTCATAAGCAAGGACAATTTTCAGAGAAAGATTAAAAAAAAAAACCTTCTTAATTTATATTCACCTATTTTGGCCTCTCGTTCTTTCAGCTGAGATTTCAGCTCACTAACCAACCTGACACAGTTAACTCAGACAGAGGAATGTATCGGTTGAATTAATTTTCCTATACTCCTAGGGATTTATTTTTAGATACAGGAGAGGAAAATGTGATAGCTTACTGGAACAATGGCAGTATATATAGAACGTACTGGAAGAAAATGCAACCTAGAAACACAACTTTTAGACAATCTACTACAAAAGAAAAAAGAAAAAAAGAAGTGAACAAACACTTGTGTAAATGTCTTGGAGTTGCACAAGCAGCAAGAGGAAATGGGAGCTTTTATTTGTCTGTAAGACTTCCATGTTTCAACTTTAATGTAGTGCAATGTAACACTACCTTTTCTAAGGAGACACAACATGCCTATAAGCACACTACTTTTTTCAGAAATTCAAGTCAGCAAATTACAGTTTCAGTCATATGTAGCACAGTCAATTATCTCACACCTATCATTAATGGGAATTTGACAGAGCCAAGCCTCAGGAATCTGATTCTACCTTGACTGGAAACCAAATACAGCCAGTGGTTGATTCATCAATGAAAACAGAAAAGAAACCTACACAGCAAAAGTGTTTGATTCTGTAAAAACACAAAAGAACAGCTTTGATGGCTCATGTTAAACTACCACAACTGCATTATTAATCTCCCTAGGATAACTTTTTCATGATTTTTAGAACAAAGAACAGCTAAGCAATGAATTCTGCACACCAATAAAATCAATGGGCTTCACACAGTTCCTAAATTTTATCCTTAGAGAGTTTACTGATGACCCTAAAAGACAAGGGTCACTCTGTTCTATGTTGTTAGCACTAGGCTAACACTTGGAGCACAACAACCTGACTGATGATTTACAGCAAGGCATAATGGAATCCCTTCCTGCTCTGCTGGCAGCAATCTTTTCTGTCCTCATACTCCTGCCAATATTTGTGTTAAAGCCTTCCAACTTAACACAATAATAATTCACATCACCCTAGTGTGAAATATGATCTAAACTTATGGTTCATAACATAGAAAAACATGACAGAACAGAATATAATAATGCCAACAAAATGAGACCAAGACATTTATTCTGTAAATGGAACCAACATCTTCTATGGGAATTACCTTGTTATAAATAATCCCACATTATACAATCCTTACTATAATTTCCCAATATTTAAAAAGTTCAACAGTTGTTAGGAAATATTTTAAATCAAAAAGGTTAGAGTATCACTACAGACATACAAAATGTTCCATCAAAAATAATATAGAGAAGAACCACTACAAAGAGCATGAAGATCTTCACACTTCAGAAAATTTTAAAAAATGAAGGAATTGAGAAAAATATTGTTTCTGACTCTTATAAAGATTACAAATTATTGGAAAACTGAGGCTACTTCATGCAAATGAGCAAGATACACACCAGGACAAAAATCCCTTTAAGCACTACATTGAAAACTCTGCATCATGAATCACAACATTTTCGACCCCCGTATGCAGAGCCCTTGTGCCAAATATGACCTTTCTTGGCACTATAAACAAGGTGGGATTCTCTCTCTGGGCAAGCATTAAATAGCAAAGAACACTGAAGTGAGAAGGGAGGAATTTCTTGCAGCCAGAAGAAAAGTATTTAGAGAAGTTAATATTTCACAGTTAGAATCTAGTATTTCGTCAGTGAATCAGGTGTTGGTGCTCTGAGTAAGCAAAGGCAACAGTTCTCAAGCCTCTCAACAAGCCAGTTCAAAGGTTAACCAATCTGACCCTACCCAGGAAAAAGACAAACAACAGCAACATCTTTTTTTTACTTACCTATATACTTGAATATGAATAACCAATTGTACTTACAAAGATGAAGATATTATTTTCCACTAGCCATGCCAACTTTAGGAGAAATGTAAAGACACAGGAAGGAATGTCTATGGGTAGGATGAAAAAATTTAGAAATTTTCTGAATACTCTACGTTCAATTTTTGGCTGGGCAATGAACTTACAAACTTACACAGCTTATCTGGCCCTAGGAGAAACAAAGGTAAGATTTCTCATTGTAATATAGCAGATAATAAGTACAAAGCAGAGCAATTTCCCTTCAGTGAACAAAGGGAACTTTGTAAATATTTTGTGAACACTTCATACTATAACAATGGAGTCCAGAGTTTAAGGGGCACGAAATTTATTTCAATTAGTTCACATTTACTATTACTATCACATAGGTCGTAGTGCAGACACAAGAAATAACTCACGTGGCATAATAAACAGAGCCTTATCATTTGAAAGTTCCATTCTGCCTGTATTATGACTTGAGAGAATTAGATTTTGAGCAACACCTGAATTCTGTCTACAGTCACCTTACAAGTGAATATTTCTGTTGCATACCAATAACAAATACCATTAGCATGTAAATTCTAAGTGTATTTATTTTAGGAGATCGTCTGCAAATTTCCTTTACATGGCTACAAGAAGGAAATCAAGAACTTAAAATTCACATCAAGCGTTATTAAAATAGAATGCTACAGAAAACAAAAATATTAAAATGTGTAGCTGCAGAACTTTTTGTCCTGAGTCCAGAGAAAAGGATTAAGTACAGCCAAGTATGTAGTAATATGAAGTCCATCTGCTTTCAAGCGCATTGCATACAAAAAGGAATTTTTCTTATATGGGGTTTGTATGAACAAGATCTCAGATAGCCATCTAATTATGAAAACAAACATATCCCAAAAAGAGGTAAAAAAAGAAATTAAAAAAGAAATCTGTTACTGAGTTTGTGTGTGTTCTCCTGAAAAATTATTTCAGCATCCTCACAAAACTCTCATAAAGCCCATTCTCACTTTAACCACTGGAGATTTCCAGGGTCACAAATAAACACACTGAAAAAAGACGCATCAATGGCTCCATGCAGAGCTGACCTCACTGCCTCTCTACCTCTATCCCTGAATCTGGCAGGAGAATGCTCCTTAGCTAGCACTCTATGAGCACTGCCAGGCCTGGCCTACTGCTATCTTGTGTCCCAGATAGACTTCTTTGATAAGGTGCCTTTTAAACATAGCTCAGCTGCTTCTGCTTCTTCGCATTAGCTAGCCCTGTGCAAGAGTTAGTAAGTCCACCTAGAAATACAAAGTAGAGATCTGCCAGGCTCTGAAGAAGTCAGCAATGGAAATACAATCTAGGTTTTTCCCTTAGATTATCCAGGCTCTTCACTACATAGAATCCAAATTGCAGTCTACTGTAAAATATTTAGCAGTTATCTTGTAGCATAACTAACTTCAGAAGTTTCAACCATGCTTCTGCTTGACCTCTCCTTCTGCTATACCACTGTAACTTAGAAGGTAAGGGGGGATAGGAGCTGCACCACAAACTAGGTTACCTACGTTATCTAGGTTAAAACCCAGAAGCTTTGAGAGCTAAAAGATGTAATTCCTGAAGCATCTGGTTCTACAGGCAAATGAACAAGCACAGGGCAGAATCTGAGAGGCTGCAGCATGAGGGAACAACAGCACCTGCCTAGGAGTTTCTTAAAATCATCGTACCTCCTAACAAAATTCATCATGTAACTATGCCCATAGCAGAATTCCAGGCTGTCCAAAACTCTCAACACTTCTCAGGATATTAATACCTTTATGTCAATCCAGTTGTTCACTTCAAGAAAGGATTTGCTAAGTGGTTTTTTTTTGTTGTTTGTATTGTTACTTCATTAGGCAAGAATGTGCTTCTCTTGCTTTATTTCCCTAATGAACGCACTTTGAAACGATAAATGCATTTACTCTGAAAAAGAACAACAACACCTTCCCTAATTATTAGAAACATCTCATCATGATTTCTAGTCTCTATTTCTGGTTTATGCAGTGATAGTTTTTGAGGCTAGAGAACAAAGAACACTCTCTATAAAGATGGCCAGTTTCAATCTGTCAGTAAATGAAAACCAGTGTTAATCTCAGGACTTCCTTTTTATGGCACATAGAATAAACCTTAAAAAATATCCCTTTTATTATCTCCTTTAGATGATGATTGGGAGATTTTAAAAACACCTTTTAAATTAACAAACTGGCTCTAAATTGAGGTATTTAGCTATTCTCCAAAATATCCTTTTTAGAAAGCCAATGACACAATGACTGTATTTCCTGTTTAGTTTATGTAACAACTGGCAATTATTTTTTATTACAATGAAGTAATTGCAAATCTGAAAAACCACAAGCCTCTCCAATCCTCTTGTCTAAACTTACATATATATACACATATATATTTTTTTAAAGCACTCTGATTAGACAGAAAAAAAAACAGAGGAATAAATCTTTAAGCTAAGTTAACTTCTCGCAGGCAGTTAACGTCACTGAAACTCACCTTCTGGTATAGGGCAAAAGAAGAAGAACAGAAAGTAGTCCACAGAAAGATTAAGGAGTGATGATCACAGAGTTCTTGCCCATGACAGAACTTTGAATTTAAGGATGGTAGTTTCATTAAACCAACACCAAAGAGAGAATTAAGTAATGATGTGTACCTTATCCACTGGGAGATAGTCATTTTCAACTTCTATTGACCTTGGCCGTAGCTTTATAGGTTTATCTTTGAAGATATCTCCAAAGCCAACACCCTTGACCTTTTTGGGTTGGATTGTTGTGCCTCCATTGGCTCCTTCTGATTTTGTGCTGCCAGAGTCACCACCATCACTCTCAGAGCCTGTAGTATCTTTCAGACCTAAAAGGGATAAAAGATTGAATATTAGGTGCAAAGATGTCTGTTTTTTCAAAAGAGATTGTGACCAGGGCCCTCCCACTAAGCTCTAAAGGAAAACAAACAATGAGAACCAGAGTAGAGAAGTTCTCTGTGCCATGCGCTCATTTTGGAGTTTTAAAAAGCACTTCAGTTTGTCACATTGGTGTACTAGTTAGAGCTTGTACCAATTCACAAAACATGCACACTTCAGCATCAGAATTTCATTCGTGAAGGCAGTCATTCCTAGAATATCAAGGTAATCCTTCTTCCTTATACACAGATTATTTGCAAGATAATTCAATAAATGAAAGAGTTAAAATCAGTTCTAGAGCAGCTATTTTATAAAGCCACTTAACACCAACAGTCAGTCAGACCAGGAGTACTGTACCTTAAATCTGCATGACTCATATCAAGCCAATTATGCAACTGGTATCTAAAGTTACATTACCTAACAGGGAAATATAAAGCTAAAAGCTGTTTAAACAAATTTGCAATCAAATAAGCTGCATAATATGTTCCCTGCTGAGCATTAAATCTTTCTGCAGCACACACAGCCTCATAAGAAAAGCACTCATGCACACAATCCTCTAGGAATATAATAAATCAAAACTGGCATACTGATTTGCATTACTTCTCCCAGTGAATAGGAAAATGTATCTGTGCTTATCTGCAAATTTCCGCTGTTTGAATAGCAGAGGCCATAGATCCCATATGGTGACGTCTCAGTCCTTTACAGGATGGTGCAGAGTCACGTCAAGCAGTAACTGGCAGCAGAAGTAACCCACTGAAGTTTCCTCCAATTGAAACAGTCCCCAGAATCACTTAAACCTTCCTTCCTCCACTGCAGATTGACTTAAGTTTCCAGGAAAAACACAGCAGTTTATGCTACTAAATTGCTAATTCTACACAGTAATAATGATTATAATAATAATGTGGGGCTTGGCTCACAGCTTATGGTTTCATTGGTCTCTGTGCAAGAACTTTCTGTCTTTCTGGTGAGCAGTAACTTACTTCCAGGAAGACTTGTTTTCCTGGCAGTTCACTATTAAGGAAGATAACTAGCCAGTAAAACACATTCTTCTTCTAAGTCTACTTTATGCTACTCTGATGAAGCACAAAATCCTTAACAAGTCCTGAGGCCTAAAGGCACAAATTCACAATCAAGGAAGCAAGGAGCTCACATGTTAAAATTGGTTTAAGCAGCATTGTGCTGCAAGGAGAATTCAAGAACTGTGTTGTGTTAGGACAGGAATTTTAGCAAGAATGCTAAGCAGAAAAAATTATCACATACTGCACTGTTCTGAGGTTTTCTATACCCAAAACATGAATGCAGAATCAGAGAAAGTTTGCATTTAGAAACAAACAAAAAGGCTGAAGATGCTTTGGCTCTCTGGCCTCTTGCAGAGCTGTTGTATTTACCTGTTGAATATATACACATATATAATGTTTGATTTGTACTGTACAAGTTATTTGTTCCATAAACTGTCCAGGATTGGAATTAAAAGAATTCTTAATAATAGTAATAATAATACAGCTCTCTTTTTAAAAATGTGCTGGAGTTTCAATTTCTTTGCTTGGACTTTTTAATCTTTCCACGACAGGCCTGGGCAAACACTTCAAAGCTGATTTCACAGTTTTATCATTGAAGTTAAACAGCCATCAGTAAGTAAATGCCATCAGTAAGGTAAATTCTGTTGAATTCTCTCTTCCAGGCTCGTGAAGGTAACAATAAAAAAAAAAAAAAAGAAAAAGGAAACAAACGTGCACTGCAATCCATCTCTACACTGTGGTGGCCGTAGTGATGGGGTCCTAACTGTAACAGAGCCATTCCACCACATTCTGAGCAGATGTGCTCAGAAGCGCAGGGTTACACTAATTAAACTTGATAGATACAAATTTCTTCAGGCAACATGGCAAAGTCACCAGCTTTTTTTTTTATTTCTGACCCTTGTTGTCACTTGGGCAATAACAGAAGCAGGAAAATGATTAGTATTTCTGAGAGTAACCCTTTCAAACACAAAATTCACAGTGATCATCCTCTATCTGCTGAACAAAAGATCATCTTCAATCTTGGATAGAAAAATTATCCTCTGCCAAAGGTTCCCTCTTTCATCTTTGCCAGAGTCTCCCAACTAAAAAAAATGTGAAACTCTTCAGTGAACCAAAACAGCAGTGCAGAGACCTCCTTCCACAAGTAACTGGGTTTTAACTGATAGGACACACAACCTCTCAGTCGCTCCCTGAATGGAAAACATTTCTTCAAAATAAATTATTGAAAATATGTTTTCTGCATCACTAATTTTGGGAGAAGACATAAACTAGGCCCAGACCTTGGCCAGCAGATGGAAATAAAATATTGAAGTAATTATGGGAGTTACTCAACAGGTGTCATATGGACTTTCAGTTCTTTGAAGCCTGCATGAAAGAGAAATCAGAAACCTCAAGGGACTCAGACAATATTAGGCTTTTGTTTATGGGCCAGCATTTGTTTTTCATTACGGTGTCTTCTGTTAGCATTCTTCTGTGATAACACACCTTGTATCAGGAACCTCACCTCAGGCTTACAGCAGACTTTCTTAGCATCACTCATCTGTAATAATAACTGATGATAATCTTTGAGTCATTTCATTCTCAATGAGCTTTGCCACCACTCACAGTCCAGATAATAAAAGTTACACAGGAGATAATATATATTCTTAGGAGGACAGAATGGACTTGAAGTGGTATCTGTTCAACCTGTATTTGAGTGGTCAGATACAGAGACACCCTTCTTCAAAGTTGTAATAATACTTCTTCATTAACTGGGACAATGACACCATTTATTACTTTTTAATTCACTCAAATAAAGGAGTCACATGGACTTTAAACAAATAAATGAATAAGTAAATGAAGAATAACGGCCCTGGCTTTTCCAAGAACTTGTCTATTGTTCTTATCACTTTGTGGCTGAGGGAAAGAAGAAGAGGTGTCAGCAAAGAAGGGTTATACACAGTAAAAATTGAGAATATATTAGATAAAATGCAAACCTCCATAGTAGCATGAAGAAACAACACAAGAAATAGTCCAACATGCTCTTTCTCTTAAAGACATACTGAGGGAATCCTCTTTTTATCTTAATTTCTCTCAAGGTTCCTGAGATAGGTTACCCCATTCTTCCAATTTGGAGTGAGAAGCAAAATTAAAGTCAAGGCTTTTCTTGCCTTCTAAAGGCTATTTGTTTTTACTCCACAACACAGATCCCTTCCAGTCTCTTAAAAAAAACAATAATAATTTTAAAAAAGGGATTCAAGAGACTGTAAGACTGTCTCTCCTCTGCGACTGGTAGAAGCGGCTACTCAGATCATTTTCTCTATAACCCTACTAGACTTTTCCTACTCTAAGCAACCTACATTAACAAAAGTAGCCAGAGGCCTGACTAAGCATCAAATTTTCTAGACAGCTGTCAACTCTCTGTCAGCATTTGGATGGCTGAAAAGCTAAGAATATAATAGCAATGCGGTGTTAATATACTAACATTCTTGCCATCCCCCCAGTTCTAATAGCATGAAACTTTTCCAGATCTTCATAGTTTCTCGGGAGGCAGGTAAGTCTTTTTTGGGTGTCATTTCCCATTTCTGTCTCTATAAACAAAGATGCTCCAATCTATCGTTGTCTAAACAACGTAGCACTGCAGTGCAGAACTCACATCTCAGCGAGCTCCTCAAAACCTGAACGAGGGTCACATCACCAAGTTAAAATTCCCGGGAGTCAGCTGTTCTCAACTTTTGGCTGGGACTAGACAAGGGTCTCCTGGTATAAAGCTATTTAAAAACATCCAGAGATCTGAGATTCTCTGTTGCTTCGTGCTTCTCACAAATGTGAGATAATTTAATATTCATGAAGATTAAATTCTCACAACACTGTCTGAAAGCATTTCACACTTCACACACATTTTTCCTCTATGGGCATATAAGAAATATTAGCTTTCTCAAGACATTTCAAACATACCACACTGCTGCTACGCCAGTTACAGGCCCTTCGAGAGCAACATTCTGAAATGTACCAAAACAGAGTAGCTCAAACAGGGATTAAAAAGCGACCACAACATCAGGCTTAATTCACCAACGTCCACAGAGCTGCGCTGGCATCAAACCAAGATTCTAAATCAGAAAGAGATTTGGGGATGATAAAGGGCTGTGTAAACTAAAGCTGTTAAAACCAAAATAAACAGCTGCGATAAAATTAACTCCATTCAAAGCAGGAAAAGGATTGTTTTAAAATGACTTAAAAAGGCAGGAAAAAATGCAATACATTGTGAGTTTTACAGAGCTTTCTATTTTAAGGTATTATTTATGAGTTTAATTTTTGTTCTGTTTTCTGGACTGTTCTGTCTACAGACATCCTATGGCACTGGGGAAAAGAAGACTGTGCCAAGTGTGAGCCAATGATGCTTTGGCTCTCTGAGCTCTTCTTAGACCAGCTCTGTTAAGCTGCGTAAAGGTCAGCTGTTCACAGACACACACCTGAGACTATGCAAAGAATCTCCTGATTTGGTCTGGCAGTCAGAACGAAACACTGTCAACTGTGTTTAATACAGTAAAGAAGTGTGTAAATGAAACTTATTGGGTTTTCTGCCTTTTATGGAAGGGAAGGAAGGCAAGGGGAAATGTGTTCTTTCCTTCTATTTAGAGAATGGCGGTGTGGAGCTACTGAGTGACCAATCTGAATGATCAAGAAGATGAAGCTATACATGGCAACCACAGCAAATGAGACAGGAAGCATCTTTCTTCCCTTTCTTCACACAGAAGCAAAGGGAGACCACACAAATACAGCCTATCAGGCGTTCCTCTTCAGCTTGCTGTCCATAAAAGTCCTGTATTTTGTTGAAACTGTCTCTAACAACATTATGTAGTGTCAGTTAAGAAAAGCAAAAACAGAAAAGGAAATGTGATTTCAAAAACGACCACAGAATAAAGCTGTGATACTCCTCCGTAATTACAGGT